AAGGAATTCTTACCATTTGCAACAGCATGGATGGAACTGGAGAGCATTATGCGAAATGAAATAAGCCAGTCAATGTAAGAAAAATACCATGTGATCTCACTCATTTATGGATAATAAAGACCATTATAAACTGATGAACAAAAATAGATACAGAGGCAGAGCAGCATTGAACAGACTGTCAAACTACAGCAGGAAGCTCAGGGAGGGTTGAGGGGGTGCGGTGTAAGAGATCAACCAAAGGACTTGTGTGCATGCATATAAGCATAACCAATGGACACAAGACACTGGAGAGTAGGGGAGGCCGGGGGAATATTAAGGGGGAATGTCAAGGGGGGGAAAAAAGGAGACATATGTACTCTTTGTAATACTTTAAGCAATAAAACAAAATTTTAAAAAATTGATTTTTGAGAAGGGTGGGAGGAGAAAACCATAAATGTGAAAAACATCAATTGGCTGTCTCCCATACAACCCCCGACCCAAAGATTGAACCCGCAACCTAGGAATATTCCCTGACCCCCAACAGAGTTGAACCTCCAACAATTTTAGGTACAGGTCAACTCTCCAACCGAACCACGTGGGCCAGGGATTTATTTATTTATTTTTTTTACTGGAAAAAAAAAAATTTTTTTAAGATAGAGGAAGGAGATGGAGAGAAACATCAATATGAGAGGAAAATGTTGATCAGCTGCCTCCTGCATACCTCTAACAGGAATTGATCCTGCAATCTGGATATGTGCCCTGACTAGAAATCTAATTGTGACTTCCTGTTTTTACCTGGTTCATAGGATGACACGCAATCACTGAGTCACACCAGCTGAGCTCCCATTGATTTTTTTGTTTTTGTTAATCCTCACCTAAAGACATTTTTTTTTGAAAATAGATTTTTATTGATTTCAGAGAGGAAGGGAGAGGGAGCGTAAGATAGGAACACCAACGATGAGAGAGAATCATCTATCGGCTGCCTCCTGTATGTCCCCTACCGGGGATCAAAATCGCAACCTAGGCCTGTGCCCCTGACTAGAATCAAACCCAGGACCCTTCAGTCCGCAGGCCAACACTCTATCCCCTGAGCAAAACTGGCTAGGGCAAAACATTTTTCCCATTGCTTTTCAGAGAGAGTAGAAGAGGGAGGGAGGAGGAAAGAGAAAGAGTAATATCGATGTGAGACATATCAACTCGTTGCCTCCCTCACACATCCAACCTGGTGTGGGGAATGAATCTGCAACTGAGGTGCGACATGTTCTTGACTGGATCTCGAACCCCTGACCCTTTGGTTCAAGGGCTGATACTCTAACCACTTAGCACACTCACCAGTGCTTTCCATTGATTTTTATTTATTTTTTATTTTATTATGTATATTTTTATTGATTTCAGAGAGGAAGGGAGAGGGATAGAGAGATAGAAACATCAATGATAAGAATCATTGATTGGATGCCTCCTGCACGCCCCCCACTGGAGGGGATCGATCCCACAACCCCAGCACATGCCCCTGGCTGGAATTGAACCTGGGACCCTTGAGTCCACAGGCTGATGCTCTATCCACTGAGCCAAACCAGCCAGGGCTCCATTGATTTTTAAAGAAATTGGAAGTGAGGGGAGAAAGAGAGAGAGAGAGAGAAGAGAAACACCAATGTGACAGAGACAAATTGATTGGTTGCCTCCCGCATGCCCCCCTACCAAGGGTGGGGATCAAACCAACAATCCAATCCTGAACGCTATAACCATTGAGCCTGCTGGACAGGGTATCTATCTTTTGTACTGCTGATAACTTCAAAAATATTAGGGTCTCAAAATGCAAGTTTTAGCCAGGCCAGTGTGGCTCAGTGATTGAGCATCGACCCATGAACCAAGAGGTCATGGGATCCATTCCTGGTCAGGGCACATGCTCAGGTTGCAGGCTTGATCCCCAATAACGGGTGTGTAGGAATCAGGCAATCAATGTTTCTCTCTCATCGATGTTTCTATCTCTATCCCTCTCCCTTCCTCTCTCTAAAATCAATGAAAATGTATTTTTTTTAAATGCAAATTTTAAAGAAATAAGGCAATCACAAGTATGGAACACATTAAACAGTGTTCAGGAAGATGACAGAAACTTTCTCATCAAGAGGATAGCATATCACAGAGATCACTGAAAGATAACCTGCAATTTTATAAGACAAGAAACTTGTTTTCCTGGAAGTGTCATTTGAACATGATGGGAAAATAATAAATTTTATTTTTATATCCTAGCAAAGAATAGTCTGAAAATGCAAACAATACCATTTAGTAAATAATAAAAGAGAGTCTCATACTTAGGAACAAACTTAAGAAAAGGAACTGTAAAACTTTTTTATTTTTTAATGAGACTTAAGAAATTAAAGACCAGCCGAAACCGGTTTGGCTCAGTGGATAGAGTGTTGGCCTGCGGACTCAGGGGTCCCGGGTTCGATTCCGGTCAAGGGCATGTACCTGGGTTGCGGGCACATCCCCTAGTGGGGAGTGTGCAGGAGGCAGCTGATCGATGTTTCTCTCTCATCGATGTTTCTAACTCTCTATCCCTCTCCCTTCCTCTCTGTAAAAAAACAATAAAATATAAAAAGAAAAGAAATTAAAGACCAAATTAGAGCCCTAGTCGGTTTAGCTAAATGGATAGAGCTTCAGCTTGTGGACCCAAGGGTCCCAGGTTTGATTCTGGTCAAGGTCACGTACCTCAGTTGCAGGCTCCTCCCGGCCACAAGTCTGGTAGGGCTTGTGCAAGTGGCAACCAATTGATATGCTTCTCTCAATATACTATACCCCAGTGAATCATATTTAATTTAATTACATGTTTTAAATAGGTAAATTGTATGGTCTGTGAATTTAATCTAAGTAAAACCATTAAAAATATGATGTGGCCCTGCCGGTGTGACTCAGTGGTTGAGTGTCAACCTATGAACCAGGAAGTCATGGTTCAATTCCCGGTTGGAGCACATGCCCAAGTTTTTACATTTTTATTTATTTAAATTTAAATTCTTTATTGTTTAAAGTATTACCTAAGTCTCCTTTTCTCCCCATTGACTTCTCCCTAGCCGTTCCAACCCCCCCAGCACATGCCCTCACCCCCCTCTACTGTCTGTGTCCATAGGTTATGCTCATATGCATGCAAACAAGTCCTTTGGTTGATCTCTTCCACCCTCTCCACTGCCTTCCCTCTTAGGTTGGATGGTCTGTTTGATGCTTCTATGTCTCTGGATCTATTTTTGTTCATCAGGTTATGTTGTTCGTTATATTCCACAAATGAGTGAAATCATGTGATTTTTATCTTTCTCTGATTATGCCTAGGCTTTGAGCTCATTCCCCAGTGTGAGACGTGAGACGTGCAGGAGGCAGCCGATCAATGATTCTCTCTCATCATTGATGTTTCTAGCTCTTTCCCCCTCTCCCTTCCTCTCTGAAATCAATAAAAAGATATTTTTAGCTTTTATAATGTGAAAACAAAAGCTTTAAAAAATGAATGCAGCCCTAACCGGTTTAGCTCAGTGGATAGAGCTTTAGCTCAGTGGATAGAGCGTCGGCCTGTGGACTGAAAGGTCCCAGGTTCGATTCCAGTCAAGGGCATGTACCTTGGTTGCGGGCACATCCCCAGTAGGAGGTGTGCAAGAGGCAGCTGATCAATGTTTCTAACTCTCTATCCCTCTCCCTTCCTCTCTGTAAAAAAATCAATAAAATATATTAAAAAAATAATAAAATAGAATGGAGGAAAGATGATTGCTGCTCTCACACACAAATAAAGAGAAGTCATAAGCCAGCTGCCATGATGATGAGTAAAATACATAGAAAGAAAGTGGACATTAGACAATTTTTTTCTATCCCCACGCCCCTCCATCCCTACCCCAACCCCACTGCACTCAAGATTTTGGCTTTAGGGAAGAGTGAACAGCATGAGTACCTTTATTCGACTACTAAACAGTGGATTTATTGTTTGCCTTTCTTTTCTGAACTTTCACCTTCCCTCCCCACCCAATAATTACCTCCTCTACATCTAGAAAGATCCATTCACACCAATTTTCCCCAATCTCTCATTTGGTGCAGGATTTCATTAACTAGCTTCATTGATTACGCTTGCCTTTTTTCCCCCTTTTAATCCTGCCCTATGTGTAGCTTTGGGCCAAAGTTCTCCTGAAAACTGATCCTTCACATGAATTTCTGGTGATCTCTATGCTACCCGCTAGGAACATCTGAATCTCAGTTCAGACGCAAACTGGAAAACAGTTATATGGACTAGTAAATTTTACCAAACACTAAATGTACACATTTCTTAAAGTAAAACAGGCCAATAAAAATATCTTCCAAACTGAACTTGACCCAAACAGATCAATATTCCTGGTTCAATTCCAGATACAAAATTGTTTTGATTTTCAACCTCATCTCAAGATGTTTAGAGAGGAAACCAGTTAAAGACACCCGTATCTATTAGTTCTATTTCCAGGT